GGCTTGATCTTGGTTTCGATCTTGCCACACTTCTTCAGAGGAGTTCCACGCCATAGCCTTGGCTGTCGTTTCTCAGCTTCTGTCGGGACAGGGACGAAGAGGAGGAGAAAATAATGATCTTGTCTCGTCTCCTAGTTGGCCCAACCACGGGTCCAGTCTTGCAAGTCCCCGACGATTTGGTATGTTGGGTTCGCCGAATGACCATCGCCGCCCTTCTTGTCCCAGGCCCATCGATCGGCCAAGTCGCTGTCAAGGGTTCCCTGCATCATGTCCACGACGTAGTCGCCAATGACAGGTAGAAACTTCCATCCGTGGAAAGAACCTCCTGTTGCGATGTAGAGCCTGTCGCTCTGCGGGTGCGGTGATATGAGGAAGTCATGTGTTGGTGTTGATGCGTCCCTGTGGCAGAGACCAGTCAGCTCAGATAACTTTACACATATAGGCTCATGAGAGTGGGTGGCCTTGCTTACCAACACATTCGGTAGGCCTCAATCTTGATATTCTCGACTTCCTTGCCATATAGGCCATTGAACGTCCTTCGCGCCCTGTCCTCAAAGAACTTGAGAAATCGAGGTCCCGTCCACGTGTTATACATGGACTGGTTAGGCGCAACTGACATGGCCTCACCGGTTGGAGGGAATACTTGATAGTTGGTAAAGCATAGGTCGCAGTTGAACTTGATAGTTCCGTCACTGAGGATTGACATGCCCTCACCTGCAGATGACTTGTTAGCCCAGCCCAGTCAAGTCAAGTACCGATAATATCCGCCCCGGTTGTAACATCAAACAAGCATGCAAGCAATACGGTACGTACCTTTGACCTGAGGTAAGCAATTCTTGAGCACCGGAATTGTCGAGAACTTGTCTTTTTGCGCGCCATGCAGCTTCGCATAGAAACTCACAGCTCCTGTAGCCAACAGTCTCTCACCAGCATGGAGTAGTGGCTTCTCAGGCGCGCTTTGCGCGAGTAGAGATGCCGTTCGAGCTCCAGCAGCAAGAAGAATCTTGTCAGCTCGCAGCGTCGTGCCGTCCTTGAGTGTAACACCAATGCATTGGCCCTCGGGCCCAAAGTCGAGTTTTGTAACTTCTCCAACGACATACTCGGCTCCGAGGTCGACCGCAGCCTGGACCACCGCGCCGAGAGCCTTGTCCGCCTCCGCGAACCCTACGTCAGGGTTCCAGAGGACCCTGTCCACGCCCTTGAAGTCGGCCGTCTCAAAGGCACCGTTCCAACGACGGCGCACTTCATCGACAGGCAGAAGCTCTGACCTGTTGGGGATCCCCATGTCGCGGTAAGACTTGATACTCTCTTCGCCGAACGAGGTAGAGTCAGCACGAAGCATGCCGACTTCGTGATACCAAGTCTTGTATAGCTCGTCTTGCCTCCACAGGGGCATAGCCTTCTTGAGCAGGCGCATGTAGAGTTTGTCCGGATAGTCATCACGGACGATCTTGTTGATGTCATGAGATGCGGACCTAGGATTGGGGAAGTAGGCCGTGTCAACAATGGTAACTTGAACCTTGCCCTTTCTACGAAGTGAGAGCGCAGCCGCAGCACCAAAGTTGCCCGCCCCTATGATGAGGACGGAAGGGATGGCCATGATTGAGTCTCGCTGTGTCCAATTGAAGTCTGAGAAACAAATTCGCATCAGGGTGACTGTAATGATAGGTTCTTGTACTTGTTCCTGGAGAATAGAAAAGTGAGACTTGTTGGCGCCATATCATATCCCGTGGGTGCGAACGGCAACTTTATATTGCAAACAGCAACTCCTGAGCTCGCAGCCGGGCCGGGAATTGCAGGCCAATACCAAATAGCGGTCGACTGAGAGACGCCAGAAAGCCGAGACTAGTAACCGTTGAGAAAAGACGATTGCCGGTCAATGTAGTCTTGTGCAGTGCAGTGTAGTGTAGTGTACATAGTATATTGACCGTCATGTAGGCATGCGCGCGAGTAAGGCTAGGACAAGGCGTCCAAACAGCCAATAGGTACACGGCGTACAGCCCTGTCGTGCACTCCATACGGGTAGTGTAGTCTATAGATCAGCTACAGTACAGTACAGAATCCATGGCCCCAGCGCCAACAATTTAGTTCCACACTCCTTGGATAATACATTGATTGACTGATTGACGATTGACGTGGGCTCGTGCCAAGGGAACTGTCTCAATTTGACGGCTCCGGCAAGGGGGGTGTTGACCGAGAAAAAGAAACGACGGGAACAACAAAAAGATTCTCAGAAAGAGATTCGATTCAGACTGAGGAACTAGTCGAGGATCCCTGGACTGCTCACCATTGGCTGGTTGAACGGGGGCGTGCCAAAAGTGTATCAAGGAGAGAGCGAGAAAAACCAGGCGAGCGATATGAAGAGAGCGACAATGTCGTACATACTTTTTAGCCTGGTCCAGCCCATGATCCTTAGTGAAGTGGGAGGTGAGAGAAGAAGAAAAGATACTCTTTTCTCTCATCGCATTCTCCACTCCCCCCAAAAAGCGAGAGCAAAAAAGTAAAACAACCCAGCTAAGGTCCTGGAACTAAACAGCAAGCTTCGCCTGGCTCACCTCAATTATGGTTGAGCATGGTTTTGGTTGGTTGCGGGGCGTTGCTTGGCTGTTCCGTACCCAGGTACCACAAGCCTCGCTGTGTGATGATGATGACACCAATTGATGATAAGCGTTGTCTGGATGGATAATAAATTCAAGACACGACCGACTGAGACTTAAGTTGGTTGTCGTTTGCTCCGCCTAACCTTGGGTTAGATGCAGTTATGCAACTCGCCCGCAGGCCATCGATGCTGTACAGCACAGTGCTCTGGAACCCATAAACGCCATGCATTAGGCCAGTTGCCCTGTAAGGATCCCCACGAGATCTGCTCTACTGGCACGATGCGCTGTACCATACATAAGGTATCCATTCCACCCAAGCATTGGGTAACGCCTAAAATCCCAGATCTGACAGTTCAGCACGGCGCGCCCTGCGACTCAGCTCAACTCGAATAGCCCAGACCAGACCAGCGCAAGAGAGGACAGGACGCCGCACACTGTTGAGTATCACTAGTCCTTGTTGCGCGGTGCATGGTTGACCAAGGATGGACAGAGTTGAAGAGCTGAAGTCGACGCTATGACAGGTGTACCTTTCCGTAGTCTCCGGAACACACCGCTCATCTGACTTTCTTTTGTTTCCTCTCATCTCATCTCTTTTCCTTTTCTCCCCTCTCCTCCTAATCTCGTTCCGTCTCTTCTCGTCCCATCTCGTTCGTGTCCTGGTCCATAAATCCTGGTCTGGGATGGAAACTCCCCTTACACAACCCATGCAAGTTCCCAGTTGCTAGCGCCCTAGTCCCGCACCGTTAAGAAGCCACGTGCGCCACTAAGGGCTGCACCGAGTCTGTTCCCCTTTGCCTGGAGTCGAGATGTCAATGGGAAATGTTTGTGGGGAAAATGGTAGATTGGTCAATGAGATCGGATCGTTGAGCTGAGTCGAAAATTCATCATGCCATTGTGTAGGTAGTGCTTGAGATGCTACTATTTGCCTGCCCACGATCTCGAATCATAGTGCTGCTGCTACTTGAGAGTTGCCCAAAGACTCTCGTCACCGTACATACCGATATGATTTTCTCACAATTGCTGTTTCCAACTGGCTGGTTCGCATGTTGATCGCCAGGGTGCATGCCCAACAAATGGCCCTAGTGCCGGGATCATCGTCTAGGGCCGCCCCAGAGAAGAATGATAGAATTTCACCATTCCCTAGAAGCTCTGAAAGCACCCTGAAAATGAAATGTCACATTGCTGCAGTATGAGATCGTATGTCTGCAAGTCATCTGTGGCCAGCATCCCACGAGTTTGGGAAAGCCACCCGCTTCTCGCAGTAGGCAGGCCAGCCTAGTACTGTATTTGTACGTACTCTAGTAAACCCCTTTGCCCGATCAAGCGCCTCTTGCGCGGGAGCTGGCAGCTTGTACCAGTGCACTTGTGAGACTTCAACCTGTTTCATTCTCATACGTGGCTGTACTTCCTTTTCTCGAACGTTCTGGATGCGTGGTCCTGTCGTACGACTTGTAGACCACCAGCAGACCCGCGCAATCAAAATGCCAAGCCTTATTATGCATTTCTGAAATTTCCCATGCTGCTGTCCGTCTTGGCCCTGTAGGCACGGGTAGATCTGTGACTGAGATGCCGCGTCGGTGGATTATTCCATCCTTCTTTAATCGTTGAGGCCTACCATGTCCACTTCAACTGCTGAATGTAGTACCTGCGAGCCGGCTGATCCTCTTTTTAGAAGGATGTCCAGAAATTATTGTGAAAAGTTTTCATGCATCTTGCCCGAAGGCTAACTGCATATGTAACGATTGTTTGTTTTGTCTCTGACCGGTGATGTGCCCAGCTTACAGGTGGTTGCATCATTCCCTTCAGATACAAGACTGGTTGACCTCCACGAAAGGTTGGGCGGTCGCTTATTGACCAGCAATTATGCCCGGTAATCAAAAGAATTCCAATCATCTTTCCGTTGTTCATGCGAATGATGCGTCATTGGGCATGCTCCGCTAAAGAGGCCAGTCATGCTATGCTCGTATTGTAACTTGCACGCTACTGAGGCCATGTGTAGGTCCGAATCAATTTCCATGATTTCGTGCAACGTTCAACCGCTGGCGGATGGACCTGGTAGTGGCAGAGAATCCCTTGGCGCATCGCTATTGGTTCATGCTTCTCGGGTTTGTATGAGCCGCATGGTTTATTTTCACCGGCTATATCTCCCCCAATCAAAGACAAGTCTCCCAATGTAAGGGAATTGACCGGTCAAGGTCACGCAGCCCATCAAAGCACAAGATGGAGCTCGTGACTAGGGCCTCAAGATGTAATGACGCGATGCTTGACCGTCAATTTGTGTCTCTCAAGTCCGTCTCGGCGGGCGAACTTGCGTTTCTTGGGTGGATTCGGGCACCCAGGAACATCGCACCGCCAAGGTTTCCGATGCTTGTTGCAGTGTTGTCTATGACAGGGGTTAGTTTAAACCAGCAACTCGGGGTGATAAGTATAAGCATACGCAAAAGAAGAATTTCGATCGAAGACCACAAGTTTCCCCTCCTTGTCAACACCGCCCTTGTCACAACGATGTCCCAAGGGACAGTAGTACGAGCCTTTACCTCTCTGTTTAAGAGCGTCCATGTCGATTTTGCTGAATTGTTCATCTTCATCGTCCTCTGAGTCTTCTGAAATGGACAGGTTTCCACCAGGTGATTGAGCGTCATCGGTGCTTCGAGATGCTAGCATAGCTCTCTGGCTTTCTCGAGCTCCAACGTCCATGTTGTTGCCTCCAGAGAATGACCGATTCCAGCCTGAAGATTCAGATTTAATAGCAGGGAAGGAAGGGACTGTGTGGTAAGTTGGTGCGGATAAAACTCCTCCAGGTTCAGGTGTCCGTCGCCAGACTTCTTGTACGTCTTCAGAGAACTTTTCTGCTAGATCACGGATCTTGCTGCCAAAACAGGTGAGCCATGGTACAATACGATTGGTTCAGAGACTTACCCAAGCTTGCTGATGTTCATGTCCATTGTAGCCATAGGCTGTAAGTCCGCCATATGCGTCTTGTTGTAGGACAGCTCGTGTGCCTCCTCTGCAGCTGATGTTACATGAGGTCCCTTAACCAGTCTATCTGTCAAAGAAAGCCACATTTGGGCGGTCTGGGTAAGATATTCTCCCACATCGTTGATGATATTCTGGCGTTGTTCGGGCGATGAAACATTTGTAGTAAACTTTGCCTTTGCTGCCAACTCCCTGGAAGCAGCCTCCAACTGGAGTCGGACAAGGGCATCCAGAGAATTGGGCTCCATAGTATTTCTGGGGATTGTGTTGATCCCTGATTCAAAGACAAGTGCAGATGATGGAATTGACATGATGGTACAGTAGTATCTGTACCTCTCTCGATACTATGGAGATCGCTGGCAACAAACGTCGATGTGTGAGTATACACCTATAGTACTGTATGTAGGTATGTACTCTGCACTATGCTCAGGAGCTTCGACCAACCACGCGGGACCTAGCAGTAGCGTGTTGCAAATTGTTGTGGCACGGAAGCTAACGAAGGGCTCCGGACCGGCGCGGCGCGGCGGCGGCGGGAAGACAAAAATTTGGGGCGACCGAAGGGGAGGGGGAAATGGCTGTCAGGAACTGTCTATCCGTCCACCTAGGGTTCGCGGTCGCGCTCCTAAGACAGAAGAAAAGAAAAAGATGCGCATGCGTCGGTCAAAGGAGGGCAGCATGTAGCGTAACCGTCGGAGAATACCATGTGCGGGTTTGTGTGGTATTCAGGCCTAGAAGCCGGTGCTGAGAGGCGAAAGAAAAAAGTCACAAACAATCTGCTCGGTGAGCGTCCTGCGTCTTTGGTCCGCAAAAGAGGACAACGACGGCAACACCCAACGTCGGGTCGACAAAATGTATGTTGTGGTCTCTTCGGTCGGTCTCTTGGAACTTGCTCCTTATGAGGCCGGTAGAGAGGCAAGACACGCGGTGCCGGGCACGAGCACAGCTTTTTCGTGCGAGCAATAAGTGACGAGACAAGAGACAACAAGCTTGGGAGGAAAGAGACAACTGAGTCAAGGTAACACTAATGCGTATGGGGGTTGCCGCAGTCCGTCTCACAGGATGTACCAAGCACCGTTTGCAGTACTGTTGGCACTGGACTCAAGCCCTGTTGTTTGTGTCTCCTGTCAAGGGTCATCTTGACTGTGCCCTTGCTAGACCGGTTGACCCTCTTGACCCCGAAGAAGCAAGGGTGGGTGATTAAGTTGGGAGGTGCGCCATGGCGTTTTTTTCCCTGCCGCTAAAAAGCCATCTTGGGCCTCGTAAGTATGTAAATCCCTGGTCCTTGACCCTGGAAGTCCAGGTCCCATCACATCGGTGGACCGCCACACCTGCTCAGTCCTTTCATCCCCTCTCTAGCTCTATCTTGACGGCGGCAGCAGGCGCGTAAGGCGCGTGAGGCAACGGTGGGTGAGATTCGCCTTCAGGTTGTCCGCCCTACCAATCGTGACTAGGCCATACTGCATCTAATATCGTGAGGCGGCGTCCTGCTAGCTATTGGAGAAGCCCTCTCTTCCCTTGTGTTAAGGGCTTTAAGCTCGTCAGGTTCCAGGTGGGGAGGCCTGCGATCCAACCATTGACCTTAATGTTTCTAACAGCTCCTAGACATCTCTTTAGTTAAAAGTCCAAACTGTTTCTAGAGAGGCAGAGAGTAGCACCTGGTCAACGTCCCTTTTAATGCAGGTACTCTCCCCAGACTCACCTCACGCCATGACCTTACGGTCTTCTTGACTTTGCTTTAACACCCCTCTGCTGGTCCCTCGGTTGAACTGTTTCCTCTTCGCTTCTTGTTGTCTCCTTTCGCCCCCGCTATCCCGGTGGTTCACACTCCAAAAACCCACTCTCAGTAGGCGTGGTTCTTTGCCTTGAAGCGAACCACTCTACTGGTATCTCATCAATAGGCTCTCAATTCGACGCGCCGCAACGGTTGTGCGTCGCCCCTGGGGCCCGGCGGCTCTGATCATCAAACGTCTGACATCGCTTCCCGTTACCGCCGCCCGCTGCCGCTGGCCTTCCGTGGTGTTCTGATCCGGCCGACTCCGAAACGACTGTACTGTAAGGTCTTGTTCTCTCATCTCTCCCATTAACTGTAGCACGGCCCATCGGAGTCGCCCCGGCGTTCCCTGTCTCGAAAGCAGCGAGCCGTCCAAATGGAAAGTTCACCAGAATCAGTCCGTCCGGTGAAGCGCGTCAAGTACGCGCAACAAGACGATGCGATTCCACTGAATACAGCCACATCCAGCATCAGGACCTCCGACACCGTTAACGAGCCCCTGGTTACTGATGTCCCATTGTTCGACAATACATGGCCCATGACAACGGAATTGTCGTCCCCCTCAGAGGTCCTATTCAACCTTCCGGAGGACCTTGGCAATTCGTGGGCCCCAGCTTTTACAGGTAAGGAAGTGAACCTGTTGTCACTCACTCCATGTCCCCATCTACCTCACCTCACCCACCTTTCCTTATGGCTCGGCCTTCTGGGAAACTCTTCAGATCCTAACTCTGACCCGTTGTCCCTGTCAAATCCCTGTGGAGGATCTTGAAGTCAGATGGGTCTTTGATAAGAGAGGTGTAACCATGAGCAGGAAGGAGATGAGAGAGAACATGTTGCACCCACCCACCCCGCTCTTACTCCCACCCTCACCCCGTTGCACAATCCGACTGAGAATCCATCTTTCATCCATCATGTTCCCGACTTTGTTCCAATTCCAGCCGAGAAGATCAGAACTACCCGTTGACCCGACCATGCCATGGTAGACTATCAAGTCCGTTCGCTGACGTTCCATGCAGCACCCCAGCCTGTGTTGAATCTTCAGGTAGCCACAGCACCTCAACCAGAACCTCAACCTGAGCCACCTCGCTCTCAGGCCCAGCGACTCCCTCGCCTCTTGCCTGCGGTGCACGACGCTCTTCCAGAACGAGCTGTTGAACCGCAAGACTCAAAGAAGAGAGGCGTGGCACCAGTAGACGGGCTCGTTGCAAGTCCGTTCACTGCAAATGAAGACCGACTGATTGTGTCTGCCTTTCCTCGGTTTATTCGCCCTGAGAATGGACAGGTGAACGGGTATGTCAAATTCAACTGGCCTTCGCGAGCTCCATCGAGACGACCGTCTGGCCCTGTACCACCCCCATCAGAGGATGACGTTGAGGACATAACGCCCAACGTAACGCGATCACACACTCTCGATCGCAATCCAACCATAATAACTCTGGTTAACCCTGTGCCTGCCATGTCTTCCGCGCCAAATGGGACTATTTCACCCATGGACCTAGAGGGAGGATGGGGAAGTGCTTCGTCGCCGATATTGATGGCAGGTTCTCCAGTTTCCCTTCAAGACACTTCACAAATTTTGGTATCGGGTGACCCGAAAATGCTGCCCCCTCAGTTCGGATTCCAAGCAAAGATGGATCATATCGACAGACGATTATTTGAGTTTTGTAAGTCTGCTAGAAACCTGCTTACCAGCGTTGTGGACCTTGAACAAGCGTTTGCTCACCACTCGGTAGATATTAAGAACTGGTGTCCAGGAAGGAGTGTGCTCAGCAACACAAACCTGTGGTTGAAGGATCTGGCGCCGATGCATAAGAACGAAGGCATTCTCCACGCTATTCAGAGTCTTGCCGGCGTCTACATCTATGATTATATACCGGATGAGCGCATCCGACAGCGGATCAATCAGCGATATGTCACGGCGGATCAATATTTCAGCACACTCCTCAACGCACCCGAAAGCAGGGAAAACGGTAAAGGGCAGGAGGTCATCACCATGGCCGTGCTTCTTTCAATGCAGGATGTATGTATAATCTCGCTGCAGTATTGGTCATCCTGCGCCTTCGTCGTTGTGAAGAGATCTAACTGGTATTTAGATTGTCCTCACTGAACGACGACTCAAGAAGCCATACAACCCACGATGGCTGGAAGGATTCAGGCAGGGCGAGTACTTTCTGCAGGCAACAGATCCCGGTGCTCGCTACTGGAAAAACAACAACGTCCAGTACAACGAACTTCGCATCTCTCAATCTATCATCGTTGGTCGGGCAGTGATTCTCGCTCAACCGATGATGGCCCTTCCATCACCAGAGACTTTTAACCCCGAGGCTGAAGCAGGCAGGTTCAGCTGGCTCCTTTATGGAACAGAGAAGGATATGTTTGAGATCCATGGTGGATGTGGCTTTTCAAAGAAACTGTTGCATCTTATGAGCCAAGTAACGTACTGTGCAGGCCGATTGCAGCAAGAGCCCGAATCTACCATCGTCCCAATCACGGCAAGATTTCTCTTGCGCGAACTATCGGAAATGCGCCAATGGAGTCGTGAAGGCAAAGACTGGGAGCTGGCTCGAAAGTACCCTCCAACGATAGACTGGGTGCGCGACAAAGCAGATGATGTGATAATCGATTCGAATCAAATCATGACGGAGGTTACAGCTGAGGCATGGAGGATCGCCGCAATAATTTATTATCAATGTCGTCTTCTGAGGTACGAATGTGTGATGACGGGGAAGAAAAGGAGGAGGGAGCGAAGTGGACAAACAGGAAGAAGTCGGAGATCCATTGGGATAACGAGCGTTGATTTTGCAACAGCTCGACTTACTCCCTCCCTCTCTGCCGGCCCAACACTCAACTTAACGACAGTGGCAAGAGCGCTCGCTGACTGAACCTCTAGGCTGCCTCGAAACCACCCGGAAGTTCTTACCAATCTTGATGATCTTGCCCGTTGCATACGAATTATGCCTACATCGGGGTCTCACTTTACAGCTCAAGCACCTTTGTTACCAGTGTTTTTTCTGGGCTTACTCGCTACTGAACCTATACACAAGGAAGTTTCAATGGGTTGGTTCGAACAAGTGGTTCAAACGCCAGTTCGCAGTGTAAGTGCAAAAAAAAAGAAGAAAAAAAGAGAAACGCAAACCTCCCATTTTTTAGTAATCTATGGCAAGCCGCAGGCTGGTTCTGCCCTTGCCCAGGTCTACTGCATCCAACATTACTCTAGTTGCAGAATTAGGAGCTAATTACCTATTACCTCAGAGCGTCCCCCCCTTGTACGATGCGCTTTTGCGCATCTGGAAATGGATTGACAAAGAAGTACAAATCCAATCAGATCCAACTGCTCTCCCCAAAGCTATCGGTAAGAGGTACCCTTGGTGGGAACACCTTGTTGCAAAGGTCCTCGATGAAGAAGAGGAAACCCTGTGCCTAACCTGACGGAACGCAACGAACAAACTTTGATCTGTCCATCCATTTTGGGATTACAATACCTTCCTTACTCGTAAAAGGTACTGTTCGCAGATATTCTCAGCAATAGTTGCCCGCCTTTTGGTGAAAATTCTTTTAGGAATTAGATGTGATGGTAGCGGCCAGCCGCGGAGACAGATTAATAACTGACTCCCGAAACGGCACTGTCGGCGTCGTCTCGCTGGTCCTTGCTGTCTTTACGGCGAACGAGATATTGTCCTGAAAACAATATCAGTATGAAAATCGTAAAAGAAAAAAAGAGAGAGAAAAAAAGGAAGAAGAAGAAAAAAAAGAAGTCGCCAGGGGATGTTAATAGGAGGGAACCTACGGAACTCCGATCCTGGGGCCTGCCAGACATCGATTACGCTCAGCCCCGCCTTATAGCACATGAGGCGGACGTTATCTTCGCCGTACTTGTGAGAATCGAACCAGTCGAACTCCTCGCCTTTCTGGATGGTGCGGCTCATCTTCTTAAGCTTCACATCATTCTTGGCCCGGAAAAAGAACCGATGACGAGTAGTGGGCTCGTCCTCCAATTGCGCGAGGAGTTCCCAGTCCTCCTCCCGAAACCATTCCTCACCTGCCAGGCGATTGGCATGCTTGAAGCCATTCAAGAAGAACTTGTGGTAGAGGTCGTCGCAAGAGTGGTAGGCGTTCCAGATCTTCTCCTTGTTACCGGGAAGGGTGTGACCGTCCATTCCAATCAGAAGCAAGTCGTCAGGTCGCAGGGCATCGGCCCAGAACTTCAGGTGAGCGAGTGCTTCAGGCCAAGGATCGTTGCAGAGAACCGAACCTAGCGAGAGGAAGAGACGGGGTGTCGAGATCTTTTGGATATAGCTCATGCCATCGCCAAAGGTACCCCAGATACCAGCACAGGTCACTGAAGATTCAGGGCTCGGGCGCTGCTCCACGAGGTATTTGACATTGTGGTTCAGCGACGATCTGGAGATGTCCAATGCGAGGTACTTGGCGGGAACTTTGCCCTTTTCAAAGGCAGCGAGAAGGTGGCCAACCTTGCGAGTGTCACTGGACGGAGCCGTGTTAGTATGGACAGGGTAAGCTTACAGCCACCACTCATTGAGGGTGGGCAGAGTGCGGGGCAATAGAGGATGAACTAACCCAGCTCCTAGATCGATAATTGTGACACCAGCTGGGCATCGCGCAGCAACGTCGGCGCCATGCTTATCAAACAAGGCAATCTCGTCATGAGTCTGATAAAACTCAGGGGTGAAGATGATCTGATTCCAGATCGGCAATCCGACATCGTCGTACAGTAATTCGTCAGGCAGCGTGGGCTTGGAGGTTGGAGAGTACGGGGCCGTGAGGGCCTCTTGCAATCGCTTGCCAACACCATCATACATGTTGCTACCACCGATATCGACTACGGCTCCATGGGCAGGAGCATCATTCTTGGGGTCCATCATAGCAATCGAAGAACATCAATCAATCCAAGTATTCGTTTTTCCAATGTCGTTATGCAAAATTGGAGGAGTGTGTGACTGTACTTCAAGGTTAACAGGGCCCAGTACGCACAAACAGTTCCACGACTCAGGGTCAACAATACCACTTACGAAGATTCAAAAAAAAAAAAAAAAAAAAAAGAAGCGCGTGCTGTGGAACGTCAGGACACGGCACGATATGGCAGTGTTGTATTCAAAAAAAAAAAAAAAAGGTTTGAAAAAGGTATTGGCGGTTGAGATCGTCTACAACAACCTCGATGCTAGCGAGTGAAGCAGAAAGAGATTGCGATTCAGGGCACGCGCTTCCCGATTTTATACCCGGCAAACAGATGTGAGAAGGCCGTTATTGTGATTACTACCGCTGTCAAGTTACTGGCAGACACCGGCCACTGCTACCGGCTGTCACTGCTCAATGGAGACAACCGCCCAGGGATGATTCGAAGAAGGGCCGCAGACGATAGGAATGTGTGAGAGCAAACGAGGCAGGCAGTCAGGCACTGGACTACCTAGCAAGGGCCGTGATATGATTTGAGTCGATCTGATTCGAGGCGATTCAAGCAAAAAGAGAGGGAATTGCCGTTGTGGCAGCGTGGATCCTGTCTGTTAAAACAAAGCAGCGCAATGTCTGATTCTTTTTCTTTTTTTCTTTTTTTTTTCTTTCTGTGGTGCCGTTTTGACAGCTCAACGTCAGTACCAGTGCAGTGCATAGGCAATGCAGCTGGTCTGCTGCTGCTGCTGGATAACACGCCCATACCCATAGCTATACCCCAGCACTTGGAGTGTGTTTGCGTGCGTAAGGTGGTAGAATAAAATGGGATGGATCTTGGCCATGTCCAGAAGTGGTTCATCCTACATTAGGGCGAGAGCGTGGAGGGTGACATTCTCATGCTTCGACATTGACCTCCCCACCATAAGACATGGGGTTCCGGTATGTGCTGGGGAAGATATCAAGACCCTTGTTTTCGCAGTTTGGAACTGCCTGCTACCTTTTCTTTTTCTTCTTGGTACTGACAATCAATCTATAGTGTTGTTTGCCTTGTTTCACGTGTCTCGCTCTCGTATTAGTCTTACAAGTGTCATGTTTCGACTGATATGAAACTGAGCTCACCTCTTGCACTCATATAGATACTTCAGCTTCGGCTTTAACCACATGCTACGGTACCAAGGCAGTCCATGCCCCTGCAGAACACGCTAATGAAGCTCCAGGATGTGGTGAGAAACAATAGCCCATTTAGGCATTTGGGGCCTATGGCCTGTGTCCAGGTCCCCTCCACAATTGCTCGAGGTTGTGTTGCAAAACTCGTAAAACACAGCACAAGCCAACTCGCGGCAGGCTTCAAGGCACCAGCACATCTTGACTTCTTCAACGTGATGATATGGATCAATCCAATAATGAGATGAGTTGCTCTCAGGAATCTGAACGACCCATCTTTATCCCCACAGACCCGCCTTCACCCGTTATAGCCGTGCCGGGCGCTATTTTCCCCTCCATGCCTCGTTTGCTATGGTCTGTGGAAAGTCAGGTGGAGTTGGTGGCAGGTTTTGAACAGATGACTGGTCACCTTGGCGCAGAGAAGGGAGAGCCTTGAAGTTATTCTCAGGCAAGGTGGCTGCGCTAAAGGGCAGGGTAGGGCAGGGCACTTTGTTCACCCCCAATCTGACCAGCCCTGAACGGTGGGAGGCAAGCAGATGCACGTCATGGTTTGAGACGGATCCCGCTCAAGCTAGAGTGCAGCATGAGCGTGACAGATGGGAAGATAGCGTGGTTGAGGTCGGACTCCATTGGTTACAAAGCTTCTAGTCATTCCCCTTCTTGGACTGAGAGCGTGATGATTTGATTCTGTGGGTAGTACAATGGCGTTATTGATCCCCAGTGCTATCTCAACGGCGGTTCCTGACACCCTCAGCTGTTCTATTTAGAGCCCTTGGTGAAAATCGCCTGGGGTCCTGCTGCGAATCTCGAGCAACAAAGGCGAGTCTTTCCGAAGATGGAGCATGCCATTGTCGTTGTCCCACGGTTAAATCTCAACACCTTGACCGCCTGTTGATTCATCATTGGAAAGAGCATGCTCTCCGGCTGCTTGACCAGGCTCGGCCCCAATTATGCCCCATTCTACCGCGGCACAGATCATTGTTGCATCTCTCGATGGCCTGTGATATGGAGGCGGTGGGGAAGATTGCGTACCTGTCCAGCTGCTGCAGTTGCTACTAGGCATACGTGCAACGAAGCAATGCGGTTGAAAAGTTTGACAGAGTTGGAGTTCAGATGGATTCTGCTAGAGATCCCTGTATAGGAAGATGTTTGTTTCGGAGTGTCCAGTCGAGATTCGTCAAGTAAGTACCATGTATCCAGGCCCCTTCTCTGATCCAATGTGGTTCGTCCTGAAGTGGAGGGAGGTGTGCTGCAAGAGTGAGATGCAGAAAAATAGCCCGCCGCTATTGCAAGGGTTCGATTGCACTAAACTGGCACTAAACTAAACCAACCTGGACCAAACTCTGAGCTGGAGGGCTTCCAGTACCTGGCGATATACCCCCGGTTTTTATAAGATGTGCGGAACTCTGAAGCTCAGTCTTGAACATGGTGGACTCTGGACCCTGAGGCCGCCTCGAGCATCAAACTCAAGCTTCAACGTTCTTGATGGGGCTCGTTTGCATGTACGTAAGTCTTGGCCAAGGTAGACTTCAACTAAGGGCAAGGAAGGGAACTCCCGTGGTGCTAAAATGGTTTCCTTTTCTTCCCGCGGTCCGCCCAGACTTAATTGGGGCCTCTGGAATCATTGAATCTCAATGGCAAGGCATTTCCTATAGAAAGACGACATTAATGCTCGAATGGATTCTATGTACGACACGCCGACGTCTGGCAACGCGGCTTGCGCGGCCGGCGATATTCGTCAGCTATCAGTTGTTTACTTCACAACAGTCTTGCATCCTGAGATCCTCCTGCTCTGGTTTTCGTCATCATGTTTCTATTCCCATGGCTGACTATTCCAGAGCCATATGGATTCGGCTTCAACTCAATTAACAGCGCAGGGTTCCACAATAGAGGTTCAACTATCACCATGGGTTTCGATTAGTGACGTTATAAGCATTGGATGCCACCCCTCTATGATCTTAGGCGCGGACTGACGAACTCAATTCAGACACCTTCGCTTTCAGACCCAGCTCATGGTGGAAAGGCTCAACTTGCTTGTTATCAACCGGGTATAGTTGCCGCCTAAAACTGCAAGATAGCGCAAATTGGTCAGTATGCACTGCCTCTGACGAGAGCTCGATCACGTCCGATGACAGGATATAGCCTTGCATGATGATGAACGCTATTGGTAATACATACTAAGAGAACACCTCCCTACCTATGTAAGCGGGGTGGACTTAAACATTTCGATCGACAGGTTTCCCTATGCGGGCACACACACCCTTCTGTAGTGATGGAGGGTCGTTCACAACCATATCACCGTTCTCACAGCCTTATAGCAACACCAGATTTTGCTATAGCACAAGAAATTAGTCACTCCTGCTTGGGCTCTGAGAGTTTGACTGGAAGTCCAGGAATATAAGATCCACTTGGTAGTGCTTGTTAGTCTTTGAAAGCGACCAAAATGATACCTTCTGCAGATTTGAAGGCGATATGCTCCGGACAGAAGACAGGGTGTTCTGGATGCTCACTTACATCACATCCTGGGCTGTGTCTAGCCAGTAAGCAGCCCGATAGATCGCGATTGGGGTTTGTCACCCTGTTTTGGGGGCTGGTGAGGTGTGGTAACACAACAGGATCCTCTCTAATGGTGTTGTCTCCCTGCACAGGTGTTCTCTCTAGACTCTACCGGACTTCAGGGCCGAAAGGTTGTGGGTGTCCCCAGGCCTTCATTGATTTGCCACTCCCAACGTGCTGGTAAGAGCTACCTATAGTTGGTTTGTTCTTAATCACTGCTTTTCACCAACAATACCATCTTATGCGATGTCCTTGAGGACGCCAATCCGTGCTGTCACGTCAATAGTTGCCTTTTGAATGTGGACAAGGTCTTTATTGGACGGTAACGCGACGGTCAAGCGAGAAACCAGGGCATGGACAGGGGGAATAGCACACAACGCACGCACAGGACACACAACACACAACACAAACCACAAACCACAAGCTATGAAATCACCGATAGCCCTAATTGAGATGGGAATGTTACAATGCTCAACAAACTGGTCAATTCCATGCATTTTGGGACTTACAACTCAACGCACTTTTGTCTGCCAAGTTCTTCTCACTATAGAGAGCTCACGTCGTCCAAGTTGAAGCTGTCATATTGCGAGAGCCTCAAAAAAGCAAACAATCTTGAAGAGAACCACAATTCATCCCACGGCATGTGGAGTAGCGAGCAATTAATCTTTCCTTTTCCTGATTACCGCTGAAAATCAATTTGTTAGTGGTGACGATTGCTGGTCATATCAGGTGATCCTTGTCTTTGAGCTCTTTAACTACTCAACAAACAAGACATGACAAGACGCGGCACGGTTAATGTCCAATGTAATATCCGATGCAATGTAATGTAATGTCATGTCATGATACTCTGTGTGATATGTTGGACGCCAAGACTTCATTTCACAGTCATCTTCCAAAAGGACCTAACACGGAAACAGCAGGAGGAGTTGATTGTGCTTGCTGAATCGCTAGCCGAGGCCAATTACGAGGCCGCGGTTGACTTAAGCGTGATCCGAGATCCAAGACATTTATTAACCTTCCATCCTTGCGCAACCTTACAACTACCAGGTATAACACTATTGCCGGCTCGCTTACGCTGCCATTCGACCGGAAAACAACCCGCCCGCCTTTGTTGAACCTCGCGGGCTTTAGCGATGCAGTTCTGTCAGTTATGATGGACAAATGAGAAGCCAGCATCATCACAGTGCAATGGTTTTTTCAGTACTCGAGGATACTTGACAAGCAAGCCACGGCACTATCGCTTATTAGCCTCGCAAGTCCCCTGCACGTTGGTCCTTCAGAGACGTTATTATTGTATCCAAATGCTCCGCCGTACCCTAGCTTGTCTTACAGCCGACAACGACTTGCGTGTTTTCTGTCTTCATGAGCCTTGATATTCCTTCTTCTTGCTTCTTCCAGTCTGTCACATGCCACGTGGGATCAACTACTAATGCCCACTCGGGAAGAGACGCATGTTGACGCCCGTCGATCATTAACTCAGCTGCTATATCCGTGCGTATGTTGTACGTCAGAGTCTGGAGCTGTCGAGACCTCAAATGCTTCACAAAACACACCGCAATTGACCTGAGGAGAAGAGAGCGTGGATATCAAGTCTTCACGGAGAGCCAGCCGTTTGCAGAAAGGAGGTTTTCGTTCACTGGCGTCGCAGCTACTGCAATACACATCAAGCTCATATTCTCCTGCGAGACCGGTAGATGGAAATCCACACAAGATCATAATCTTTGCGGGCCCATGCTTTGACAGCGCTTGGTAACGCAGCTCTAAGGCTTAGGTGAGGAACGACGCATTATTGAGTCAGTGATAGCCAAGCTGGAGCCAAGAATTAGACGCATAACAGTGCAGTGTTCTGTGTACACGCGAGTCAAGGTATAGTCATGGCTCCGCCGCCATTCTGCTTTTCACGGAGACAGTTCTCTCATGTCAAGCCATCGTCCTGTCTAGAGTCATGTCAGCATTGAGACGAAAATATTCAAGAGCATTCAGCTGGTCAACCTTTTTCGTGTCTTAGAACTCGGGATCTGGCGAAGGGGTTGGTTGAGCGATAATACTGGTCGACACAACAGCTGAAAAAGGCACACGACACAAAAGCAAATATCGCATACCGTGGTGATTTCTGTGGAGAAAATGGGGAGTTGGTTCATTTCGGCTGTCTTTCTGCATATTACGGATAGTCTCTATGCTGTGATTTGAACTCTCTCCTGGTAGTGCTCCGGGAATGACTTGATACCTTGAGCCATCCATCAGTCAAGACTCAATCCATTGCTAGCGTGCGAAGCCTTTTGCAGCTCTCAAGCATTGCCAAACTTGGATCTTACTAGTTTCAAATGATCCGCTATCCCGCGCCGAAACGCCTGTGCTTCCGCCGTGACCACGGAGTCGACGTGGGCGGAATCTGTCGCACCCCGGACCTGTCAACACGGAGACCGGCGTATTTCGGGTCGGCCTGCAAGTCCGGCTGATCTTCTTCGTCAACTCCACGCTTAGGGGTGGCTTCTCCTACCCTACTCTCAGCCAGCCTTTCGAGGCTATCGGCTCCGCCTACCATGAATGGGTCTCAGGAGGTGCAAGCCGGGCACGAAGTCTTTGATAACGGACGATAGAATGTTCACTTTTACAACGAGGAAGTTGATTCTAACGAATACCTGGGTATGCTGGAGCATGTATTCAATGTGGACTCGCTTTTTGCTGATTCATATTGTCTCGATCAGCCAAACAACTCACATATCGCACCATTGTAAGTGAAGATGTCTCACTAGAACCACCTGTTATAGAGTAGTTCAATTCAGCCTAAGGACAGCGTTATCTGGATACGCGTTCGGGCTTGGTTTCGATACCTTGTTGAGATGCTCTGATATTCGGAATACCTTACTCGATTCCTCAGCGAACAAACCTAGAGCGTAAAAGGCCAGTACAAAAGAGAAAACAACCGAGACGACATGAACTCCAGAGATCGCGGAGTCGGAATCAGCATTGCATGCGCTGCCACAGGATATGCCAGTGTCCCGGCCGAGAAGAATCTTGTTGATCGAACCTTTTTCAAGATGCAGTCGAGCGGCGTCTGCGTTTAAAGGACGCGCAGCAAAGAGGGTGTGGTGACAGCTAAGCCCGTGTCGCTGTGCAAAGTACCTGGATTCGGCCATATCTGTACACAACACCGCGTACGCAGGTAAGACGATTAAATTATTATTCAAGCGGGACACCCAATTATTGCATCACTAAGTACAAGGTTGTCATCAACACTCAAGAGGTGTCCAGGGAGGGTTGACAGCGTGAAGATCTTCTGTTATAACAGGACATCTTCATGGAGTTTGTACAGCGACCATCCGTGCTGCAAGACTAATGTGAGCTGCAAGAAATGTCAGGTAGTATTTGACAAGGACCCTGGCAGACATCTGCCTTTGAAAGGCGGGCCGTTGCCGATTTGTGATTCGCGAACATGGATACGAGGCACAGGAAGGCTTGAAAACTTAGTAATTGTGGTCCCGAGAACTTTACAGCTCATATCCTGAGTTGTTCTTACAGTACGGCATGCCAATGTTCGGGCCTCAATGCTTCACGGCAAAAACGCCAGGCAGGAGAATCATCAATGCATGCGACGTAGTGGGCCAGACAAACTACGTAAGAGCCGCTTTTGCCACATCAACGGGCATATGCAGGGCCTGGGAGGAAACAAAAGAGAAAACACGACATCAAAGAGTGACACCAGAAATCGACTGCCACAAAAAAAGCCATCTTCAGCCATGAGCCTCGGGTGTGGACGATGCATCAACGAACCCTTGTCAGGGATCAGGGGTCATTCAACACCCATTGACTATTGAGTCGTGGCCTGGTGACGTCGTGAACAAACTTTACCGTCCTATCAGAAAGCTCTGATCAACAGCAATTGGGGCCTGTGATCTCGATAGCTCACGTTATTCTGACCTCCATTGGACCTTTGCGTCCATCGACGAGTTCATGATTCTAATTATTTCATCAACAAGCAAGCAGATGCATGGGTTTCAAACTCATATCGATGGCCAATGATTGTTCCGCCGCTTTACAATAACGCCTCTATCACAACAAAAGCCTATGTGTCCTGGTGTACTTTGGTTCGCCCTTGAATATCCGTCTCTTTCTGCTTTTAACTAGGTACTATTCCTCCCAGAAGCCAGGGAAAAGGTACTCAACCTTCTTCATAGCCTCGGGATCACGACCAGCTGGCTTGGTCATGAACTTGACAGCTCCTTGAGAGGCACCAGCCCAGTGCGTAGCTTGGACCAGGTCGCTATTCTCGAGTTCAGCAAGTCGATCCAAGACACCCGCTACGAGTCGCTTGGCATTTTCGTTGTTAGCCTTCATGTACTTGATGACCAGCTCGACATTAACATCCTCAAACGAGTGCCAGCAATCATAGTCGGTAGCCATAGCAATCACCTGGTAGGCCAGCTCGGCCTCGCGGGCAAGCTTGGCTTCAGGAAGGGTCGACATGTTGATAACAGATCCTCCCCAGGATCGATACATGTTCGACTCGGCGCGAGTTGAGAACTGCGGCCCCTCTATATTGTTTGTCAGATGATACTCAGGTAGGTTGGCAATTCTTCTTCAACTGGGTTCTTACCCATTACAATGACTGTGCCCTTCTCGTGCAAGACGACGCCGTCACCCTCCATATGAGCTGCACAAGCCTTGACCACCTTGGCAAGACCTGCATCGAAAGGGTCGGCAAAGCCAACATGTCCAACTACACCACCCTCAAAGAAGGTAAAGGGACGGACACCTTTTGTGCGATCAATGACCTGGTCCGGGACTACAAAGTCCATAGGCTTGATCTCCTCTTGCAAGGAGCCGACGGCGGAGAAGGCAATGACGGATCTAACACCGATATGTCGTAGAGCAGCGATGTTTGCGCGATTCGGGACCTCGTGAGGAGCAAACTGATGGTGGATACCATGTCGAGCAAGGAAAGCGACGTAGCCACCCTTGTGGGAGAGGATCTGAATCGGCGAGGCCGGGGGTCCCCAAGGTGTAATGGGGTTGAGAGCAGCGACGGGTTCGAAGCCTTCGAGTTGGCCGAGACCAGTACCGCCAATCACGGCGATATGGACAGGCTCTATGAGGGTGAGGTGAGAATCAGTATTGCGCCTCTATTGATAGATACGGACGGATAGTCTACGCACTGTCGAAAGTAGTGGGGAGGTCACTCATATTGACGAATTGAAACCGAGATTAAGTAGTTGGAGCAAAGACTTGGAACGTCGATGAGAAGGGGAGGTTATCGTCGTCGCGAAGAAATATCTGCCGCGTCTTGTCTAGTCCTCAGCCAGCGCAACTTGGAACTACCCCGCCGCCATGACCAAGCTTACGTGCTTGGACAGCGGTGGGATGGAGGGGTCGTGGACCCTTGGGAGCTCTGCCATTGGTTGGCACATTTGAAGATATCAATCAAATCTTTGGCATGAGATTGATTGTCACCTCATAGTACTCTGTATTCTGTAAATACTTGACCAGTCACTGCATCGTCTTGGGATCAGCCAACAAAGGTCGTTCCGAAAAGGCGTCCCAGGGTGAATCAACAGTACTTCGATAGAGTAGTTTGCGTTTTCATGAATCTGTCTTTGCTAGATCTGCTGTGTTGGTGTTTTGTTCCTTCAAGAGGCCTGTGTTACCATTGGTTTGGCGGGGTTGAGTTATCTTTCACACTCAGTTAATATTTCACTTTCTCGACATTGACCCATCGAAAACATTTATAATTTGACGATGGAGCTGGGTCTTCTCTATCTTTTTCTGTTAATCTAAAAAAACTTAAATGCAGCCTCAAAATTCGTAGTCTCACATTTATTTGCCTTCCTCATCCTCTTTCTTATGCTGACCAAGCCGGCCAAAATTTTCCGACCTAGCTCCGCCAAAATTTAGCCCACCAGAACCTCACCCACCAAATACAGCCACAACGCTACATACGTACTTATCACATCGACTATCAACGACTGTATATGGATGTCATGACGAGAAATGATAAAATGACGCGACTTCCCGACAACGCAAATCTGCTGAACGAGGCTCATGAGAATGGTCCTGATGAAACCATCGAGGAGCGATGCTTCGCTGCCGCCCTCGTCTGTCTTGAAGGCCACTACACTCAGTCTCCTCCCATGGGTCCTCAGACAGCAGCCAAAGTCAGCTCCATGATCACAAAAACATTAGAAAAAACACATACAATACGCAAGGCTCGGTAAGTCTCAGCCTCCGTATTCTACGCGAATCTCATCACTAACGAGCGTGCAGCGAAGCCATCTCAAGAAATGTGGCGATCTGGATCTGGCTCACAAGAATTTTTGCTGCTGCCATACCCAGCCTCACCACACGATCTGTAGGGCCGCTGTCGAGCCTCAACGATCCGGAGAAGGGCGTCACTCCTCAGGAGAGCACTGCCTTGATTGTTATGAACCATGCGACAATTAAGGAGGACATAGCCACTCTCATCAAGCTTATGCATATTGCGAGGAATCTTCTCGTGAATGCTGAGCCCGAAGTGCCGCAAGACATCTGCGCGGCGGTTCACTTTGATCAAATGGTCTATCAGACAATCATTCTCTGTGTCAACGTAACGAGTAAGGGCTACGACGGAGAGATTCTTGATGAGAACCAGAGATTAAAGCTCGGTGATGTCACAGAACTATGTAGGTATCCGTGATGCCGAAACATACTGGTAAACTAACAAACAACCTAGACAAAAAGCTGCTGGTAACATCGTTACAGCAAGCCCACAACTGGACGGCCAAACACGACAGGAACAAGATGTCTTTCTGGTTTGATGTTCTATTTGATGATGACGGTGCGCTTTCGGGCCCCGAGGAGAGTCTAGGCGATGGTTCAGGCTTCCGGCCAGACGTGGCAAAGCGACAGGTCCAGCACTGGCTCGATAGGAACTCCAAGCTATGCGACACTGCCAGGAAGCTGCTTAAAGATTACGCCCAGAACCAAGCCTCAAAACCGCCCGGCAACCTCGCTCCGATTCGACCACTGGCTTGGAACTGGCTTCCAGATGGCTCTGTGGATGTTCCTGGAGATGTTGCCAATACCGAGGAGAAGATCAACCCAGTATGGAAGCCTGATGAGACGGATAAATTCGAACAAGACCGTGCATATGGGCGCGTCTCGAGAGAAGTTGATACCTGGTGGCTGAACGCCCGCGATCCAAATTATGAAGAATGGCTCGTCCTGATGCCATCTGTGGAATTTGCTCAGAGCCGCTTGGAACATTGCCGCAATAACCTCGTGCATCGATACGCTCACTCTTGTGGAACAGACCACTCTCCGCCACCGGGTGTTGTTGAGGAGGAAGAGCTCTCGGAACACGAGCATTGCCATCACTGTGAACACGACGATCATGAGCATGAACATGAGCATGAGCATGAGCACCATCACGATCATCACCATGATCATCACCACGAGTGTAACCATGGCCATGATCATCACCACGACCATGACCACGACCACGAAGATGACCATGAGTGTGTATGCCAATGTGATCACGACCATGACCATGACCACGATCACGATCATCACCACCATCACCATCATGATCATGATCATGAGTATGCTCACGACTACGTGGAGGATATTATGGACGAAGAAGACGCCGATGATGACGAATCCTATGGAGAGGGACCACTGACCGGCCTGCTAACAGAAGTGCCCAACATTTTGGATCCCAAACAGATCGAGGCTCTGCACATGATTGTCAAGTCATGCATTTTGGACAACGCCGGTTCAGGGTTGACTCGAGCAGGCGAGAATCTTCAGAAGACCCGATGTCGCATGTTCCTGGCTCTTGACTGCGGAAAGAGTCTCCTTAGAGAGATGCTAGTCTTCATTGCGGTCTGGGAGAAGGATGAGCAGTCACTCATCTTCCAGGTCACGACTCAGATTGTGGAAGCCCTTCATCACAGCGCCTTGATTCCATATGCTTGGAACTCACTGCGTATTCCGAAGGATATCATCTCGCCCGCTCAGACAGTCCTTCTACGACTTGTCAACCACATGTTCAGAGCTCGAATAAACAACTCAGCTTCTCAGGAGGCCAAGGACAATACCCGTGACATCAAGCTTGTTCATTTCTTCTTGAGTTTCTTCCGAAGCCGCATTGTCCCCGAATGTGCCGCTCTCATGCATCTTCAAGCTCAAATTCGGGAAGAGAACTGCGACCCATCCGAGTTCCCCGTGGATAGCTGGGATATGGAACGTGCCAAGGATGGCCTGGCCCAGTACCTCGACTTTCTCACGACCGTTGCCGAGATGCTGGACACTCGGGCGAAACTGATCGAGTGGGAGGCTATCTACGATCTTATCACGATCTTGACTGGATTGGAGGCTGGAGTGCCCAAGAAGCCTCTTATCGAAATCCCCAAGCGATCACCCCGAAATGATAATGACGGCAACCCTATGGTTGAGCGACCATACGCTGCAGCAGATGATGGACATCCCCCGTCACCGCCACCGCCTCCCATGCAGGAGCCAGCGCACAAGTTCCCCTGGTCCGGAATCAAAGGGCAAATCTTTACCATTATAGCCACTCTCTTACAACCACCTCAAGGTCAGAGCAGCCCTGGAAACCCTGATGTGCAGATGCAGATGGTAAAGTATAACGGAATTGTGCCTCTTCTGAACTGCTGCGCCTACGATGACCACAACCCGTATGCCAAGGAGCGAGTGACGATTTGTCTCAAGTGGCTGCTGGACGGCTGTGAAGCTGCCAATAACTTCTTCCGTGAACTTGTCAACCTCTCACCACCACCAAACCTTCGACCTGCTCCTGGCGGTACCACCGTGTCGACAATAAGAGTTGATGGTATCCAAGGCGAAGTCAAGGTGCAGGTCCGCTCGAGTACGTCTGCACCGGGCGAACAGGAGACTACTGACATTGTGGACGGAGCTGGCAGAATTGATCTCAACCAACCAAGTGGACGAGGTAGTATTGAAGATGATTTTATGGCATGAATGCCTAGGCAATTTTTATGGAAAACATGTGAGACTTATTACATGGTATGGAGGCTAGCATAGCGCAGGGTGTCTGGACAAAAGGGTAGTTGAGACTTTGGCATTTGTGAAACTTCTCAATCAGAAGGGAGTTTAACTCGAGGGATGGGGTTTTTGGCTGAGTTTCTGATTATTACATACGGCTGGAGTTTGGACAAATATGTAAAAGTTGTGCTTGTCAGGGATATCTGGGCTTGAACTTCACATAGTTTATTATCAACAAAAGTAAAGCTCTTGATTCGTTGCTTTCTAGTCATGTTGGATAAGTATTACACAGAACATTAAGCATGGTTCAGAGGTAACAACACATATCCCCATCCAGTCATGATCGGCGACAACAGAAGCCTTTGGGCTATCAAGAAAATATCAAACTGTTCACGCTTGGATAGGCAGCATTTGCCTTCCAATGTGAAAAGCTTTCTAGGCTAAGGACATTCATTATCTGAGCAGTCGAGAATCCCTGGAGTTTCTACGTCAAGTGCTATTCCTACCGGTACGAGTATCGAAGGGCATCTAGCCTATATTCTACACGGAACGAGTATCTTTTGATTCGTGCTAATGACCTCTGGCCTGTCCCAATGGGTATAATATACACTATCCAGTTAAAAGTTCTTATAAAATCACTCTTTAACTAATCGGTCCTCCCTATTTGCCCTCAAAGCGACGGCAAGCGGAGAATGACAGAAAGACCCTGAGTTGGCTTAATGTCTCTGCAAGATCAGAAGTTCCCGAAGTTATGACCCTCAGCTAAGCACCGTCCCACCCTTTGGTAAACGTAGACAGACCCCCAGAGCCTGACTCTTTGGAGCGTCCCCCATATCAAAATCCCGACACTGGCGGCTTCATAGGCAACGCATGGGACATGTGTTTCAAATACACCTTTGTTAAAGCCTGTCAGGAAGCCCCGTAGTGTAGTGAAACCCGCATCTCAAGCTATGCTTTGAACAACGACCAATGAACAAAGACAATATATGGGATCTGGCTTCAGAAGCCCGTTGTTTACACAAGGGTCCAGTCAGGGTATAGCCAACGCACTTACACGACGGCTCTCTGTCAGTCTCTGAAAAAAGTTTCCTTGGTAGGCTTAGATCATCGACACCACGTAGCGGTATCCACTAACTGGAGTTTACATTGAATATATTTATTAGTAAAATCATCAAGTTCTCTCTTGAGCTGATACCTCTGACCCTCTCTTGATCAAGTCGTTGAAGCAATCGCCAAGTTCTGACACGAAATTTTATTTGCGCCTTTACCAAGTTTGGCAGTGACAGGAAACGTCGGAGACCCATTTTGCTATTCCCTGACTTGATTTTTGGGTTTTTGGGCATCAGTGTACAGTAAAAGTACAGTGTTGATTTGACCTGTCAAACCCTTGGCTCGATCTTGTGGCATGACAGGGAGGCCTGGAGATCGAGACAAGGATTGTCGGTTGATATGGGACAATCATAGACAAATGCCGGCTGAAAAGGAAATCCTGTTGGTTCAGAATGTTTATTGTATGTGTTTCCATGATCTGATATGGCTGACAGATCATCCACAACATCCCTCGATACTGTCTTTTACTGCAATTCGTCGTGATTCCACACACCTCAGACTCAGGCCCTCGTGACCATCTTGCCTGGCCCATCACATCAAGAACCCACTAAGCCAAACAAATCAAATCAAATGTATGTGTACTCCTCAAGCGCCTAACAGGGTATGCTCGTGCCTCAAAGCATTTTTTAATAACAAACAAAACTGTCTCTTCCTGACCCACGCTGCTGTACTATACAAGCCCGAGCTTGATTTCCAGCAAATGAAATCTAAAAATCCAAAAGTCTTACATGGGGGCGTAAATCATCAAACTATGATAAGAAAAGACCAAGACATAGGGAACAAAATAACAACGCTTAACCATTTGTTCTAGTGAAAAGACCTGAACACCTTAAAGTGCTTCCGAAATAAGGAGCCGTAAATGTGTTGACTGAAAAGAAGTAGTATGCTAATGCGGAGGGTATCCTGAATCTTTCATAAATGCCTTGAAGCAGAGAGATACCGGAACTGGGTGAGCACTCCAAGACCAAAAAAGTGTCTGGAGTGAGTGCAATTCGGACAAGAATGTCGGAGACAGCTGGTAGACCAGGTTTGTATGCCGATAGATGTAAGGAGTTGGTGTCGTTATGGGATTTCATGACAGGGAGAGCCCCTGCTTTCGTTGCGCGGCGTTGTATAGATCGCGTCGCCGGTAGTTAAGCGGTTGAGACTATCAATCCGTGTTGTCAAATCGTCGTCGGGAGCGTTGTCAAATGCTGCAGGATGGTGGTTGGCTTGACAACTCAATCCATCTCGCTCAGGAAGCCGATACAGTAACGGCGGCCAGTTTCATCGACAGGAACGGGGATTATGGTGAGTAGGTTGTTAAACGGCTGGCCGTATTTCTTGTAGTTGGTGACGGGGATCTGGATCTCCCTTCCAGCATAGACGGCCTGACGCATGCGGTGTGAAGCGACCTTGTCCGAACCCTTCCTGTCGAGGGCCCGTTCTTGTCCTGGCGGTGCTTGGAGGAAGCGGCAATTTCGGCCAAGAACCTCACGAGCCATGTATCCAGTGAGTTCGGAGAAAGAGTCAGAAACATAGATAACAGGGGCATCGGCCTGGCCCATATCGCACACGACAAGAGCGACAGAACAGTCCACTGGACCAAGAACAACTTGAGGGTTTGGTCGGCCCATGACACGGAACTGGTTCTTTGTTAGTGACCTGTGGGCAGAGTAGTGCGGTGTAAGTCGACTCACCAAGATGGACATGATGTCGATACCACTGGGAGCGTAGAGACCAGGGTAGATGACGGGATCTTGAACTCGGCGCCAGGTACCTGCAGAGTTTACTGTGCCGTCAACGTTGAAGGAACCCTCTTGAGGAAACTCGTACTATGAAAGTCAATGGGTGCCGCTTTGAAAGAAGATCACTTTAAAAACCTACATTTAGAGCATTGACCTCCCAGGGATTCATAGCTGAAACTGTCTTGGACGCCATGGCTGAACAGTGAGGAGAGGGTGAGCGTGATGATGGAAACCCCAGAGGTAGTGTTGCAGAGATGGTACGCATGGAAGCTGTCATGTCGAGGATAACAGGAGATATGAGTAAGGTGATATATAGGCCCAGGCCCCTGTGTCCGCAGCTAAGGTAGCACCAGAATAAACGCGGTCAGGTATGACGGAGTCAGTCAGCAGCGTTGCAATATGTTGGAGTCGTCAGGTATCAGTCGGATAGAAAAGCTGGAAGCGGATAGGATGTAAGTTTGAGGGATGGATGAACTGACAGGTAAGCGAGGAGGGACTCGTGGAGCGTCCAGGATGCGGCTGGATAGTTATCCCAGATGAGGCCCCAGAAGAGAGTCAGACTTGTCAGGGAATAACCGTGCGGGCGGAGCTTTCAGAGGTTTCCAAATGCGAATGCAAATCGTGATGGACCCTGAAGGCGAATTGACAGAGACGGCTGATGCTTTGGGGGTGTGGATGATGACGATCTGGTGTGGGTATAGTCTTTATATTGTAGTGTGCTGTTTATGGTGATGAACTGCTGCGGCTGCTGTCGGGGTCAACTAGTGCGTATTTGACTGAGAATGAGGAAATCATTTTCTTGTATCGATGGCTATATTTGAGCATAATTTGTACCTTTTCTTGCGTCCCGGGGGCTTGCAATACAGCCTCATATTTGCTTCGATAGACAGCCAACAGTGGTTGAATGGCATTGAAAGAGGGGTCTGGATCACTCAACAAGGTGTATGCGTAATACGAATGGGTAGGGGTAAAGAAACCCAATTCGTAGGGGCTCAGTCGATTGGTTGAGAGTGCTCGATTCTCATGGTCCCCGAGCAGTTGAAGAGATCGCCAGCAACTGTCTTCAGACACAAGATCGGTACTCATCGACCAGGGTCTCCACTTTAGTCTTGAATCGACCTGTCAGATTAGTGAAACGTAAGGGTACGTACTGCTGAGATCGCTGAGTACTTTGAACTAGGCCTCTGGATCGGTGCAATGAGTGTACACTCACTATCTCGTCGTTGGCAGTTTTCATTGTAAATGAAGCCAATACAGTGTCTCTCAGTATCTTTCGGATTTATTATAGATTGTTATTTTTTGTTTGTTGTTTGTTTCTTCTTGGCGTTTCAAATCGATTATCAGATGCAATAGATGTTGATAGCTCCCGGGTTGTTTTTTGTTGTTGCTTTTGTCTGCCCGCCAACACGATGACTTCCTAGAGCATCGACGATGCTGATTACCGATCCAGCAAACTGCCAACAGCAACATTTGCCGGCCTGGACTCGACTGATCTGGACCCTCCTCGCTAATAAGCAACACATATGCGTATGTGTATGCGTAGTTGACGAGCCTTGGCCCATTTCACGAGCAACCGTCTTTTGCATGATCGATGCTGTAGCCGATGCACGATGAACAGGTCCAATATGAGAAAGAGTTTGTTTCGTGTTGAGGCGCGATGGCTTGCTAAGGCTTCGATGTGTGGAACCGAGCCTTGGTTGCCGCGATCAAGTACAAGCACATTGGAGGCTTCCGTCTCCCCGCCCGCCCTATTTTCGTTTGTCTCCGATTGAAGACAAACGCCTGAGACAAGGATCTCACTGGTCGGTTTTCGCTAAAGACTGTAGACATCGAAAAGTGCATCGAGTGGTTGGAGAAGAGCAATGCGCCATGTCATGTCCATGTCCATGTCCATTACACCGTGCCTGGCCCTGGGGGTTTAGACCTCTACCATCGTCACCGGTCACGCTGAGTGGGTAGTGAGCATCTCCTCTGAAGCTGTAATTGACGTTGATGCATTGCTGTGTCTATCATCAATTGGTCGCTATTGTTGTGATTTATATTTGTCTATTACTGATCGCCATTTGAAGGGCTACTCGCTATCAATATCTGATAATTGATTCTCGGTATCCCCTTCATTTTGTCAGGGCAATATCAATGACGCTGCGATTTCAGGTTTCAGAGGGAGGGACCCTGATTGACATCGATTCCAACCATTGTCCAGATCGACAGGCGCTTGGTTTGGACCCCTGCTCTCTTCGGTTCGCTCGCAAAATATGTCACATTGTCGTCTTTGACTTTGTGAAACCCAACTCATCGAGATGCCCTTCCAATATCAGTGAAGCAGCACTGCCGTTGGGCTCCTACCAATCAAAACCACAGCCTTTCAAAAGGTTGTAATAACATGGGGCATTGAAGAAGGTACGTTGAATTATAGGTGTGCAAGCGTTACTGTGATTTACCTTACCTGTCTGTGGTTTGCTAGGAAAGAATAGCAAAAGCCTCTTCACAACAATGTATACTAGCCTGCCAGCTTAGACTTTTACAATAGGTACCTTGACTGCCTTGCTCAGATACACAGCAGCTTGTGACAGCAATAAAACTCCAAAATAAAGGAACTAGTGGTGAGGTCTAGGGTAAGCGATACGCTCCGGACGGACCCACTCACCCAAGTCGCGACTCCTTTCAATTAACGCGTGTCACGTTGCTAACAAAGACTACACTCCACTCACTGACAGCTTAAACATCAATACAATCTTCAATTGATTATACAGCTGCCATATCAAGATTTCAACATGTCTCGAAGAGGTAACAACCGCACTGGCAATTCATCTACAGAGTTACCTGAGTACGAACCACCAGCATGTCCACTCACCGACGCAGCTCGTCGCAAGTTGCACGACCTGTCAAACACCCGCTCAATAGTCGCATATCAACAGCAAATCAACGAATCTGTCCGTCTACTTGGCTTTAGCGTTAGCGATATACACGAAAGATTGCGCGTACAGCGTGAGGAGTTAGCCCGCCAAAAAGTCAGAAGAGAGGAGAGGGGGACAGAGAAATCTGAGGAAGAGCAACGCCTTGAAGCTCATCTTCCCGAGTTCGAGGAGCGCATTAACACGTTGACTGCGGCATCGGAACAGGCTATTCGTGATATGATTGACCGAAGAGCCGAATTGGAAGACGAAGACGTCATATTCAGCGATCTGTATGACACGGTTAGTACAGAAGCCACTCAGCAAAGACAAGTGGAGGCCCAACGAGGCGAGCACGACGACGAGCAGGAGCCGCTGGCTGCAACAAGCATACTCGAAGCCTACAAAGTCCTGCGCCAGAAGAAAGACACCGAATATACAAAAATGTCCGTCCACCAGCGTTACGCTCTTAATAACGACTACGCCGGCTTCAAAAAGCTGTGGCACGACGCAATGGCTGGCGATGAGGGACCTCCGCTCCCGGATGCCTCGCGCTGGTTTACTCCCGATGGCGAGCCTATCATGAGCGGAGCTGTCTCAGGGGCGGGTGCCGGGGGCGGAGACGACGACGATGATATTGCTGTTGAGCGCGAGGTCAAGAGCATTAACTGTCCTTTGACATTACAGCCCATGAAAGATCCTTACACCAGCCGAAACTGCAAACACACATTCGAGAAGGCCGCCCTGCTCGAGTATTTACCCATGCGAGGAGAATCTCAATGTCCGCAGGCGGGATGCTCACAGGTCGGTTCACTCTCCATCATCCAAGCACTGTTGACTAACGTGGTGTACAGAAATTCACACGTGCGCGATTCGACCATGAGTTCTTCCAGGACCAAGCCATGGCGCGCCGTATCAAACGTGTTCGTCTGGCACAGCAGCAGCAGGAAATGATGGATGAAGATGATGACGGCGACGGCGATGACGAACTTCGAGTTAGAGGCTCACAAGCCGCCCCCGGAAGATCGCTCAAGAGGGAGAAGAGAGGAGAATGACCGCGGTGTTAGGTTAAACGTGCGAGCTTGTTCACTACGAAGAGACGATAAAAATGATACCCCGCCAGTGTTAGACCTGATAGAAACCAATCTAGCAATTGACAACAGTCTCCAGGATGCTGCATATAAGTGTATAATTGAAGAACAGAATGGCCCGACAGAAGCACAGGACTTGAATAGAAAGAAAAATCGCGTTCCGGAATATGCTATATTTTGCTCTATAAATATTTACGGCAACGTAGGGTATCTTAATCGGTTCATTACCCCCCTGCGCTATTTGGCTCAACGAGCCTCATCCGAATAAGAAATATACAATGCGATGCTTTTCCAAGCGGTGCCAATTACCATTACCCATAAAACCTTAGGGGATAACGCCGTGATTTGTCTATAACAATGTTCTCTGTTCGTGCTGCGCAAGTACAGCAAACAATACAGTGTTCCCTCAGACTTGGGAGCTCATGCAACGACCTGCAAAACCAATATGCCAGCAATGGCAACCACTAACCCTGAGTTGGGTGGGTTCCATGCTGCTGCAGCATCAGGTGTTTCAGTTGCTGTATATACCCCAGTCATATCCGACGTTGAGCTGGGATCTGAAGTTGATGTTGTTGGCGCCTCGGTCGTCTCTGCTTGCAACGGCCAGTCTTCCATCGAAGTATACAGTATGCCATTTACCACAATCCCCTTGTCTTCTTCGATTAGCTTCTCGGCGTCAGAATCGCAACTGCCTTGGAAGTTCCGAACGTAGCACGTAGGATTCAATTGTTTGGGAAGGTCTTCAGTATGCGTCGCATTGGCATCACCTGTGGTGTTGTACGTGGCGGCATCAATGTCCATACCAGTAGAAATCGAAGTACCCAGGATGATACGAGCAAAAACCTGAAAGGCTGTCTCGGGCTGGTAAGCAGGTACCGCATGGCCTGCTTGGTAAACCCGACTGAAGGAGAGGTTGCCGAACTGACGAACAACACCACCAATGTATGAATCGTTGACGATGATGGGTGCATATCCAGCGTCAGGAAAGCGAATGCTATATTCACCACCTGCTTCCTTGGCCAGGCTTTGCGAAACAGCCTCTCCACCGAGCCAATTGCATATATAGTCACGATCTCCGTATATCAGAGCAATTCGTACTCCTGAATTGAGAAGTGAAGCTAGACGAGCTATATTGCCGCCACGCGCCTGATCACCCGTGTATTGGAACTCGAGACCGACATTCCTATTGTTCAATGTAAAGTTGATAGGAGAACCAATAGCTTGTTGCACACTGTCTTGGTTAAGGTATTCCAAGAATGTCATGGGTGGAAAAGGGTCGGCTAGGGGGGCAGCAAGATCGTAGTAGCCACGACCCGAACTAGAGTAGGCGTTTTGAATCTCATTACAGGTAGTTAGAGCCCCGGAGCAGATCTCATTGATAGATTGCTCATCCCCTTCGCCCTCAGGGTCGCTGACCGCGGCATCGGTGGCGCATTTCTGAAGAAGATCGCGGCAGCCGCCTTCGGCAGAGAACTTATCGAGATTATATTTGGAATCGCTAGCAGACAAAGCTTTGTAGCCATATGTGTTGTCGCTGGCAAATATTGGATAATAAGGTACTTGAGTCTCCATATCAACGCAACCGTTGACGATACCGAGTGAACTTAGATGGACGTCAATGGTTGAATTGCGTGGTAGCTCCCCACTCTCTCGGCGAGCGTTTTGCTGTACAAAGGTTTCTGCGAAGATAGGACCGTAGCGGCCACCATAACTTTCGGCAAAGAGGTTGATGCCGAGTGAGCTGTTGCGGGAACGTGAGGCAGGTTGGTATTGCGGGAACGTGGTCAAGAAGCCCTGGACCATATGCCAAACGGCCATAGCAGCGGTCTCAGTAGTATTGGCAGTAAAGTTTCCATTGTTGGAACTGAAAGTGCCATTGCGTACGAGCCATTCTGGATAGCCAGAGGATACTGGAGGCTCAGTAATATTATCACTGGCAAAGTTTACTGTGCCGTCGGTAGGCGTATCATATGAGAAGCCGACTTGGTTGGGCTAGAAAAGTGCATGTGAGCTCTTGTGAGTTGGCGATAATACTTGAGATTTACCTACCTGATCGATGAAGAGTATGTTAGAGGCACGATCCCAGCCCCATTCTCGTACAAGCGTTTCATATTCATTTAAACCCTTTTCGACAACTTCACAAGGCCCGTTGCCGGTGAAGAAACCATAGAGTGAGCTGGATCCTGGTCCTCCATTGAGCCAGATAGTGAGACTGTCAGTTCGCTCACGAGCCTCAACAAACCAAAAGAACAGATTGGTTGGATAATCGCCGGGAACCGATACCCAACCCGTGTATTGCTTTTGAGAGTCGAATGCTGTAGAACATACGCCCTCGGGAGTTTTATAAGAGACAGTCACATCCCGATTTGCTGGTGAGCGGACGACTGTGAGGTTACGCGCCTTAGCATCAGAGCTAGGGATGAACTGCGAGAAGGATAGAGAGACCAAGGTAGAAACAACAAAAAATCGTATATAAAGAGGCGAAGAAAAGAGGCCATGAACCGCCATAACGGCGGAGGAAGAGGTGAGGTTTAGTAGCAATGCGATGGTCAGGTATTTCAAGAGTGGTGAGAGGGTACGGTAGGAGTCGTCGTCATCCAACAAATAATCAAACCCATGGCAAGACAATAAAGGGCGAGACAAGACAAGACAAGTCAAGCAAGACACCAGCGAGCGATTTAGACAAGACTTTCTGAGACAAAACAAAACAAAAAGACAGGCAGATCTGGATATAAACGACTGATAGATAATGAAATAGAAACACTGGAATTGTTGTCAACGAACGACAGTCATCATTAGAAATGGTACCTTGAATTGATGTAGCTAGGAGGAAGAGGAAAAGGCCGATCAATCCAGGAGGAGCCCAGGTCAAGTGGGTTTTGAGTGGAGGAACTGTTGCAGCTGCAGTTACGGGGCAGCCACTGGCTCCTCGTTCCTGCTGCCATGAACCCGGTCTTGCACTGTATCGGAAGTCGATCACAGGGCGTTTTGGACTCTGTAAGTCCTCTTGATTAGCGGAGTCTGCCCTGGCGCTGTCGGCTAAGGCATTGGAGCTTAGTGGGCGGGGATGTCTCGGGTGGGTGGCTGGCTGTACCTCATAATTGTCCGGCTACGAACATCAAAACATGTGAATAGTTGCGTCTTCTACTCCGTACTACGTAGTGGACTGGATTCGCTGTTGCTCGGAGCAAATACAACAGATGATGTTCAACGTGAGGTACTGTTTGTTCTGTACGAGTTGATGTGCAACACGAAAACCTGTTACGCCAAGGATCATATACCCAGTAAGCTGTATATCCTTATTCGTGGTAGGATGATCCAGGAGCATGGAGCTGTATCAGCTCACACAGCCGCAACATGCTTTGAGATGTTACTGGTTCGGTGGTGCACATCCCGACATGAGGAATTGCTAGTTCTGATTGACTTTGCAAACGAGAATTTCCCAGCCTTAACTAGGCTCTTTTCTAGAATGGGTAAGCTGAGCGACCACGGCAGAAGAGAACAGTCTCAGCAACCGAAACACGGTGGACTAGGATCGAGTCCCATGACGCGTGCCCTGTTACAAGAGATCGAGGCTCGGGACAACTCAATAGTTAACAATTACATGGTCCTATTTGGATTAAACCTTACATAATTCCTAAGAGCCTTTGAGCTGGCGAACCAAGCAATCATTTTACACTATATTACAATTGACTTTCATATGATGATTTTGAGTCCCCAACTTTTGTGTAACCGTCTTGCAATATGAATCATACACAACTGAAGCCTGTCAGGCCTCGGATTTACGCACAGCAAAGAAGTAGTTGCCCACCTTTTCACTGCCATCGACTTGTTTCCACCCAAGTCCAGGGATATATATCACACCCTGCACCATTGGGTGACTCCAGCCTCGACCTGCGAGGAAAGTTCGCAACTCTTCCTCGTTGAGATACTTGTTCCAGTCATGGGTTCCCTTGGGAACGATACCCAGAACGTCCTCGGCCATGAAATTGGTGGTGAACCAACTCATCCATGTTCGCGCGATCGTGCTCATAACAAGCCATCCACCAGGTTTGACGAAGGGACGCACCTTTTCCAGGAATGCGCCTGGAGCATCGATATGCTCAATAACCTCGAAGAGTGAAACCACGTCGTAGGCATCTTGCGGTGTCGCAGGAACAGGGAGATTTTCAATGGAGGTTTGTCGATATTCGAGCTTGGAACGAAGACCCGGATCTTTGCGAGCGTGCGAGCGTGCTACAGCGAGCACTTCGGGTGTAGGATCGATAGCAGTGACATGTTTCGTCGTTGGTAAACGAGCTACACTTTCAGCAAAGATACCACCGCCGCAACCAATATCAAGGAACGTCAGGTCTCTGGTGGGAGAATCGGGGTCGGTGCGGTGACAAGCGCGGATGAAGTCATGACGTAAAGGATTCATGAGATGAAGTAGCCGGGAGGAGCCATGAGGATCCCACCAGTCGGCGGCGAGCGCATTGAAGTGGGAGACCTCATCGGGGTTGACAGACGAGAAAGATTGTGACGATTTGGACGAGGATGTGGAGTGCCATCGAGGTGTTGGCGATGTCGTAATTGAGACTGCGATGGTATGGCTCGCCGGCAATGGGAGGGTGAAAGGCCGCCGACTTGATCGGGCGAGGTTGCGGAAGAGGGCACCCGCCGGCCGGAACGGAGCCGGCATATTTGGAAGCGCGGAGGTGAAGTGAGAGAGGTCACGGTTGGTTGGTAGGTGGTAATGGAATTGGTAAGGTGTGGATGAGAGGATCAATGAGCGGATGACAAAGCTACAAGCCAAGCAAGATAAGATAGCCTCGATGGACCCTGAAAAAAGTCAACGATGACAAGATTCAATTCGATCACAGGGTACACTCGGACGGTTCCGCCATCGGTTCCACTACTGCTCTGCCAAAGTCCAAGAATTTCTACATTGTCTCTCGCTGACTGATGCTTCGCAATTCCTTAGT